GATCCATGGGGCGAACAAACTGTAGTAACTACTAGACGCCTAAGGGATTATAGATCTCGATCGTGTGAGAACGAGAGCACGACTCAACAAGGAACAAGAGTATCGACTATCGGGCAACCGCCTTCACCACCGTTACGGTGACGTACCGGCAACGATGCCTGCTACTAGACAGGGTAGCTGAGTCCATGGCGGAGGCCTACGGCCATGCTGGCTATTTCTCGAAAGCCGCAACCCAGAGAAGATTGACGGTGTCAGTCTTTTGGCCTCGTATGGCCGCCATCGCCTTTTCGTACGTAGGCCTCTAGCATGTTCCCGGGATACGACCACTGTGTCTTTGCTGAGGAGCAGCACGGAACGTTCAAGCCCGTCTGGCCAACCTATTCCGGTCTTAGCGGTATTCTCACCCAAGGGACGCTTGTGGCTTCCGGCGCAGGGAGGCCAGCGGCTGGAATGGCCCTCTGCAACCCCGTGTTTGCAAAGGCTCGTTCTAGTTGCTAGCCCCCCCTGCGACGGAGGTCGCGGAGTCTCGCGGCTGGGAGTATTGCGGTGGCTGGGCCATGACGGTGTCTATGGCCGCCATGTGCCGCAGCCTGCCTTGTCCAGAAAAACGCACCGAACGTGCCGGCAACCTACGAATGGGGCGCGAGCAACATCGGCCCATCTCTCCTGGCCATGCCGGCGGCTTAGCTGGTGCCCCAACCGCAGCTGGCATCTGGCATCTGGCTCGGGTACCGCTCTGGAACCAGACGGCCTCCTGAGGCGCACGACAAGGAGTGCGGATGGATAGCCCCTCCGCTCCGTGTGCTGGTTGTCAACCCACCACCTCCTCGCTAGGATCGAGGTACTAGAGATATTCTACTAGTACGACCTCTCGTTCTAGTTCCTCCGGCACTTCGACGATATAGACGCTAGACTTTACGACGTTAATAAGAAGATTAGTGATATACTTCATAACGCGGAGCTAGATGCTAAACGCAACCGATTATACGCCTACCTCGCTAGCCATTATATTAATAGCATAATTCTCGATCTCTTCTCCGTAAACGACCGTAACGCGGGGCTATACTTCGCCACTAGTACCTTGCGCGGGCCTACCTATGACACCAAGGTCGCTTGGAAAGACACCTAGGACGCCGGCACGTCCTACTTATATAGATTAACCGTGATAGACCAAAGGGTCCCCGACAGAGACTACGAACGGAGGGCCCTTGGAAGACGGAGCCGGCAGGCGTCTCGAACTAGCCGGGGCTGCTGAATCAAGTTGCCAACTGCTTGGCGTAGCTGTGGTTCTACAGCGAATCCTACCCGAGGCGGGGGGGGGGGGCATTTCCCGCTCTCTCAAGCACTTTCGAAAACGATCGAAACCACGTGGTGGCCAAGCCATGGCTCCCAAAAAGGAGCGAGTGTCGTAGCCCCTAGCACCAGGGGCTACCGAGGCTCGTGATATCGCACAGTGCACTGTCGAGGACTCAACAGCCTCTCAGGAAGAGCCCTGGAGCGCTGGGACGCGGCAGCGCGGTGAGGCCGACACGTCGAGGGAGCAGGTGCGGGGCTTGAAAAGCATCGCACAGGAAGAGCTATAACCAAACGTAAGGGGCCTGCGGCCGTGTCGTGGAGCGCGGAAAAAAATGACATACGCAGGTAGCGCGAACCAGCCCTGGTTGAGGGCGAGGACCCGGTGAGTGTACCTATATCGATTGTCGATTATTATTGTCGAGGCGAGAAGCAAGTCGTTGTACCTATATCGATTGTCAACTATTATCGAGGCGATAGTCTGGAGTCTTTCTGTCTACCTAGTTACGGGGCATCGCCTCTTCCTTCAACCTCTCCGAACCTAACCTACGTAGCCGTAGTTATTACCTATTATTAGACACAGCCGCGCAGACAGAGAGCAATATACCCGCTACGGGCGATAACAATCAACCCAGTCCCGTCCACATCCCCCCTGCCTCCCCCCTCCCCCTTCCCTCACGGCCACGCAGATCTGCGCGCGGCGTGAGAGAGAGAGAAAAGTGAGTGAGCGAGAGAGAGGCAAGGCTCTCGGCCCAGCGTGGCGACGCCGGCGCCTGGTGGGCATATCCGGGTGTATGCGCAGCGGCCCCTGCTACCTACCTACCTACCTACTGCTGGCCTTTCCTTTCCTTTCCGCACGCACGCCCCCCCCTGGCGCGGCCGCGAGCGCCAGCAACCCACACCCACACATCCACACATCCACACATCCACTCCCCCCGTCCGGCGCCCGGATAGGATAGCCTCGGCGTTTGGGCTCTGCGCGCGCCCACGCGGGGCACGCAGCGCTCGCGTCGCACGGCGCCGCCCCTGCGCGTCGACCTGCCTTGCCTGCCTCGCCTGCCTGTCTCGCCCGCCTCCGCGCCACCCGTGTCCTGCCAGCGAGACACGTAGCCCCGCCTCGGGTCTTGCGTGACCCCTTCCCCCCCCCCCCCCCCCCTTCAAATCCGCCGCACCGTGCGCGATGCGTGGCCCCCGGAGTTACCAGAGCCAGAGCGGGCGAAGACAGGGATGGAAAAGGAGGAGGAGGAGGAGGAGGAGCAGGAAGGGGGGGGGGGGGACAGCAGGCCGCCGCCGCCGCCGCCGCCGCCAAACCCCGATTCGAAAAGCTAGACTCTTGTGCCACGGCCGGCGGGTGGGCGAAAAGAAAGAAAAAAAAGCTGACGCGTGCGCGGCCGAGGAGGAGCAGGAGGAGGAGGAGGAGGCTGCGCTGTGCCACGCGAGGTTGTCCGCGGGTGTGTGGGCAGCCTGCTAGCAGCGCTCCCGCACTCGCCCTCGCTATCGGTCTCCTGGTCTTTTTTTCTTCCCTTTCTCTTCTTCGTCTTCACTTACCTACTATTTCCCCTTCGCGGTGTTCCGTGAGAGGGAAAAAAAAAGGGGAAGAAGCAAGGAACAGATATGAAATTCCGTTCGTGCTTGCTGCTATTAGGTACCTAAGGTATTATCGCGATTAATACTAGCGAGGTCACGATCTCACATCTCGATATCTCGGCTACCGCCTCCCCCGCGATTCTGGCTTCTGGGCGCTTCGAGAGAGCCCCGCCGAACCCGGCTAAGCTTTTCCTTCTTTCTTTTTTTCTGCTCTCGGACTCTCTCGCTTCCACCACCTGTACATATGTATATGTATGCGTATATAAGACACAATGGCGAGAAAAAGCAAGACTGTACCAGCCTCCGTGTATGCATATGTGTGTCCGTACGTACGTTATGCATGTAAGGTAGGTATGTAGGTATGTAGGTGTGTGTGTATATGTATGTACGGTAGGTATGAGTGCGTCCGGTCTGGCCCGACCCTGCCCAATTGCGTCCCTGTCCTCTCTGCTTTTTCCTGGCCTCGATCGGGATCGGGCTCGGGAGCTGGACGGAGGAGGTAGAAAGGGGAGGAGGAAGGGGGGGGGGGAGCCACTATGGGAGGGGATCCCCGATGGCGCCGCGAAGGTGGTGCCCTAAGGCATGTAGGAGCATGTAGGTGCGGACGCAGAAGGCTAGAGCGTCAGGTTAGATATCTATAGCGCTTAGCTTAAGGGCAAGCCAGGCGAGGCTCCGGTCCTGTCCACGCCCGTTCTTCGGGGCGAAGGCGGGCGAGAAGGCGAGTGAGGAGCTGTGATATAGGCCGGGTACTCCTATTAAGCAAACTGGGGTAGGCCGTAAGCGATCCCGAGTTCGGGTTAGCCAGTGCGGAGTCTGAGCTCGCCGCGATAGTGAGGTGTTTTGAGGCGAGGTTAGTATTAGCTGGAACCAGCTAAGGGAAAAGTCTGCCTGGGGGTGGTATCTCCTGCAAGTTGCCTGTGGACACACAGAGAGAGAGGTATAGGCTAGAGATACCAGACATACTTACCCGCGTAGTACCTATGCCTGAATATAAGCGAGCACATATTAAGAGGCATACAGCCATATAGCTATACAAGCCATACAGACAGACAGACGGACAGACATACATACAGACATGCTTCCAGTACCTAGGTATGTGCAGCATAGGTAATACACAAGTACCTCCCTACGGCACACAGGCATTGTAGGCTATCATCGCTGTCTTTGGGCGCATATGCCTAACTACCTCAGGCAATTATATAATTGCATATTCAATCCTACGCTACTCCCATCTCATCGCAAGCCTCTCTCTCTTCCTTTGCGCTGGCCTAACCCGCTTGCCTCGCCGCTTATTATCCCACATGTGATTAGACGTCTAATAAGCAAAGTGCTTACCGGAACACGACCTAGCGTACATCCATCCGTACATCCATACATCCACACACGTTCTGCTTCTGCTTCTGCTTCTGCCGCGTGTGTGCAGGCGTGTGCATGTGTCTTGTGTGGATATGGGTGTGGGTGTGTATCTGGTTTTTTTTTTTCACCGACCCGTGTGCGCGCCCGCGTCGAATGGGTGTTCTTAATCCCCCGAGCCGGTCGGGCGAGAGATAATGTACGCGCCGCCGAATCGGATCGAGCAGATCGGGGTGGGAGCGAGATGTATGTAATAGAGAGAGATGGGGGGGAGAGAGGGGGGGCAGAGGAGGAGGAGGAAAGACGGTGGGAAGGGGAATGGAGGGGTTGGCAGAGACCTAACTACCTAGGTATCTACCCGCCTACCTTTACCTAGGTACCTACCTACAGATAGCCCGGCATATGCCCCTATGTGTATGCACGTATTTGTATTCTTCTCTGCGTCCTATTTGCGCGTGTATATATCTACGTATGTAGGTACTGTCTATATACCTAGGTATGTATGTATCGCATGTGTATACCCTCCTACATGTCTATGCGGCGTATGGGTCTGCGTGTACCTGTATGATACACAGGTAGGTAGGTAGATGTGTAAGTGAGGGCGAGGGCACTCCCCCTCCCTCTATTTCTTTCTCTCTCTCCCTCTCTCTACATTTGTGTGTAGGTGTTATGTATGCATGAGTGTGGGGAGAATCCGCAACAGTCCGTCCAACTGCGACCGAGGAAATAAACTCATAATGATCAATTAATAAATAAATAAAAAGAGAAGCAGGCGGAGAAATAGAGAGACACTCTGGAGGGAGTGAGACAGAGACAGAGAGAGGAGGACAGTAGAGAGCATCTATCGCAATCCTTCGCCAACCATCCCACACCCCCCCCCCCCTTTCCCTCCTCCCCCTTCCTCTCCCCCCCCTCCTTCTCCTTCTCGCTCAACGACCGCGGCCCAATGATGGCCGCCCTTCGGTTTATTGGGGCCGCCTCTCTGACGTACGCGGCATTCAAGCTCTTCGACTATGCGTCCTTTTACCTGCTCCCGCCGGCGTCGCTCGCTCGCTACCGCACGACTGAGGATGCATGGGCGCTCGTCACCGGCGCCTCCGCGGGCATTGGGCTCGGCACCGCGCAGGAGCTCGCCGCGCGCGGGTTCAATGTCGTGCTCCTGGGCCACCTGCCTGCAGAGCTCGACGCCGCCGCCGCCCTCGTCAGGGCCGAGCGCCGAGCCGCCCAGGTCCGAGTCGTCGTCCTCGACGCCATCGCCTCGACGCCCCACGAGATCGAGGCCGCCCTCGGCCCTATCGCCGCCCTCCCCGTCACCGTCCTGGTCAACAACGTCGGTGGCTTCCCCATCGACGAGCCCACCCTCCGCTACTTGTCCGACTATACCGCCGAAGACCTGGACCGCTCCCTCAACATCAATGCACGCTTCATGGCTCACGTGTCACGAGTGCTGCTCCCTCGGCTTGCCGAAAATGGACCCGCCTTGGTCCTCAACATGAGCTCGGCCTCGCGGATGGGCATCCCGTGGGCCGCCCCCTACTCCGGCTGCAAGGGTTTCGTCATCTCATTCACGGCATCGGTGGCGCGAGAGATGATCGCCGCCGGCAGCGAGGTCGACTGCGTCGCCATCGTGCCCGGTGACGTACACTCCCAGTCCAACACCCTATGGCTCAGCCCGGGCTCACCCGACTCGCGCCAGTACGCAAAAGCAATGCTCGATCGAGCGCCCCGGGCGGCCAGGAGGGGGTGGCTTGAGTGCGCCCCGTGGTTCGCGCATGCTCTGGGCTTTGCCCTCCTCGATATCCTGCCCGGACCAGCGGTCCTGTTTCTGCTGACCGAATTTGCTAAGCAAAAGGAGGCGGCTGCGAGGGCACTGAAGCGAGCTTGACCGACTGCGGTGCGACTTGCACAGTCGAACACCGACAGCAGTGTCCTGATTTTCATAGTTCGAAGATGGCGACCACCAGCATACTTGGGAAACATTGGCTAGGTTATACCCATGACTTTTCTTTTTTTTTTCTTCTTCCATCCGAGCTCCACGCGTTTCGGATACCTACTATTCAATCGGCTATGATAGCAGGAGAAGAGGTGAGCAGGGCGAACGAATACATCCAGACCCTGTAGTAGTAACAACATATTAAGCGCTAGGTGCACAAATGGCATGGTTACTACCACCTATGTAGTTACCGATCCTGGAAGATAAAGGATTGTCCTTGTTCATCTGCGCCAGGAGTGATAGACCCCCGTATATCGCCAATATCTCTTGCAGTGCCTGTCCCCCCGAAAAGACGAGTTTCGCCAAACGGCGCATGAAAGCGAGCGCCGGAGACGCTCTCAAATGCGATATCTAGGAATATATCCTCCGGGTCACTCCGTGCGTCTCTCATATATGCGTGTGTATACGTGCGTGTGTTATGTAGGTGTATGCATGATGTGTATGTGTGTGTGTGTGTGTGGGCGTGAGTGTATGAGTGTATGTGAATGTGTGAGTGTGTAGAGGTGTGTAGAGGTGAGTGTGAGTGTGAGTGTATTGTGTGGTTTGAGAGGGGACGAGAGAGAGAGAGGGTTTGAGACGTGGGAAGTGAGATGGAGCCCGTCCCCGGTCAGACCAAACCATATCTACCATCACTTCCGACCAGATGCGAGTAGATTTGGGAGATGGCCAGATCTGCTGTCCCTGCAGACAGACCACTCCAACCTCGCAACATCGAGCAGGCAGCGAATTGTGACAAACCACCCTCCCTCCCGCGCTGTCTAACGTCACACCTCCTGCGCCCGAGCAGATGTGTCGTCCTGCTACCGCCTGGCAGCTACTTCATCTACCACGGAGGTGCCTTACTGTACACACGCGCACACGCACCCATGCATACATGGATAGATGTATGTACATGCGTATGTATAGATATGTATGCGTGTGTATTGATTCTAGACGGTCGGCGGCGGCACCGATGCTGTGGGACGAAGAGTTCGCGTTACCCAGTTAGTTCAACGTCGATTCTGCGTCACCGGGGTTGGACGGTCGTCGCTAGAGGAGAGCAGCTCACCACACCCCGAAGCTCCGCCTAATTGCTCCATTTCTGGGCTGCCGGAGACATCCAAGTATTGTGCGCGTGCGCCGCGAAGCTGTCGTGCGATAACGGTGACGATGCGTCGACCATCGATCCCCGGAGGGCGGGGTCTACCAGATCCTGCTCCAGACCCGGGCCGTTCGGGTCGTGGAAAAAGGACCAATCCGACGGCAGGCTGGCCCCCTCTGCGAAACTGTTGAATTCTTGGAATTGATCGAACCCCGCATACTGCTGGCCTATAGAAGAGATGGTCAGCACGTCGGCCCGTTTGAGGAGAGGGGGTAAAAAAAAAAAAAATAGATGAGACAGTGACACAGAGCAATCTAGGTCGTGCTCCCTGGCTGGGTTGAGCTGATTGATAAGACACACGAGGCGACGGGTGACATCTCTACACTGACCGTTGCCGTATAATTCTTGGCCCGAGACGAGCGGGTGGTACGCCAAGCCGGCAGGCTGGTTGTGAAGGACAAAGCCGTGACCCGAGCTCGAGTACGGGTGCTGCTGCGGGAGGCCGTGCTCGATGCTCATGTCCGAAATGGACACGGCCGCCGAAGGAACAGCATCCTCCGGAGGCGGATCCGAGTCGGATGCTGGCAACTGGTGACTGTCTTCGGATGCTGGGGCGTCGGGCGACCGGGGCGACAAGGTCTCATGCGTGATACGCTGGTGACGAGTCAGGAGGTCCCGGCGCGAATACGCCGACCCGCAATGGCAGACGTAGGGTTTCTCCTTCGTGTCTGCGGTCGGGAATTAGTCTTTGAGGACACACTCAGCTGCGAAGAGGAGAGGGATGGTGGTGGAGCAGGGTGCGCGGATCGAGCAGCATCTCGAAGTTGGGGTTGGGGTAACCAACGGGTTCGGACGTGGCGCTCCAGATGTTCAGAGCGTTTGAAGCTCCGTCCGCAGTGAGAACATAGGCGCTGCTGGGCGCCAGACGATCCATCTCGTCGTCGCCGGCGAGATTGAGACTGGTCCGTCTGGTTTTCCGCCATTGGTAGGTATAGAAGAGGTATGTTGGTAATGAGGTTTAGAACGAAGAGGATGGAAGTTGGAGAAAGGCAAGAACTTTCATCGTCGAAATTGTGGGGGTAAGAAGTTCACAAGGGCCATGGGCTAAGGACTTAAGGGGGGGGGGGACGCCATTGACGGGGAGAAGAGGAGTTGAAAGTAGTAGTAGGAGTAGGAGGAGGAGGAGGAGGAGAAGGGGGGGGGGGGGGGTGCGTGTAAGTGGGTGTGGGTGGGTGGAGGGTGTAAATTACGGGTTACTACGGGGGTTAGGAGGGGTGGAAGGGTATAGCGGGGACCCGAAAGGCGGGGAGAGCGAGGATGACGAGAAAGGGATAGAGGGTGGGAGGGATCAAGGGGGTCAAAGGGTCAGCGAGAGAGAGAGAGAGAGAGAGGACGAGGAGGACCGGCGGAGGCGAGGTAGGTCCTAGTGACCACGGGGCCACGAGGCCATGGGGCCACCTGATTTTGGCGTCTGTAGGCTCTTAGTGGCAGGAGGCGAATGCGCGTACCTACGAGGGATGGACCGATGGGTGGTTGGATGAATGGACGTGTGTGTATGCGCGCGTATGTGCGTACGTACGTTATGTAGGCATGTTATGTATGTATGTGCGTAGGCATGTGCGAGTATCTGCGTGCGCTGCATGCCACAGAGTGTCAGTGTGTTATATATACCGACGGCCGTGTCGACGGATGCAAGGCGGGCACGCAGGTCGGCGTGAGGTAGGCAGACAGGATGATCTCCGTCTGGCCGCGAAGATGCTGGTTGGCGGACGAGGAGGGATGCATATGGGTCTACACATAGGTGTGTACATACTTGCCTACCTCCTAGGAGATAGGCACCTACAAAGGAAGGAAAGCAGAGAGAAAGGGGGCGACTCGGACTCGGCAGAGCGGCTGGCCGAGCTACGAGAGAGAGACTACGTAAGAGAGGGGCCTGCTACGGGTGCAGTCGCCGTATAGAGGTAGGATCAGACCAATGCACGCCATGCCGTCGTGACGGAGGCGGTCGAGGCGAGTGCGAGCAGAGGACGGGTCGAGAGAGGAGAACGGGTCGAGAGAGAAGAATGGCCGACAGAGGAGGTAGGCAAGTAGCGAGAGGGGAGAGGAATAGAGAGAGATAGATAGAGAGACGTCAATGTAGCACTGCTGGCGGCATGTACAGCGCGTAGCATGCGCATAGCACATAGCGCATATCGTATAGCACATAGCGGCATGTATGTATAAGTAAGCAAGCAAGCCGGCGGCGGGCGGCGGGCAGAGGGCAGATAACGAAGATGCCTAGAGGAGGTAGGTGCCTACCAGGCAGGCAGTAAAAGTGGGCGGAGAGAGAGAGCATACAACCTTAGAGAGAGAGAGAGAGAGAGAGAAACACACACAGAAACACACAGAGAGAACACATTGAGAGAGACATCGAGAGAGAGAGAGAGAGGAGACGAGAGAGCGAGAGAGAGAGAGAGAGAACCAGGGAGCGAGAGAGAGAGACAAGACAGAGCAGAGCGGGGGAGGAGAAAGGGAGGAGAAAACGGCACAGCGGCCGTGCCACCACCACTGCACGGTCCACGGTGCAGCGCTGGGCTGCAACCTGCTGCCAGGGATGGCGACGCATCCCGCAGCACGACAAGGGAGCTGGTTTGTGGGGTAGCCAACCCGATCTCGCCGGCAGTACCGTAAGTAGTTACCGTCGTAGGCCGTAGGTACCGACTGTAGCGTAACCAAGGCACCTCCTCTCCCACCGAGTTACCTACCCAGGTGCGAGACCCGTCACCCACCCTCGCCGCCTGGCTTCTTTGTCTCTTCTTAGCTCTCCGTCGCCCCCCTTGGGTCCTCCCTCCGCGCTTGAGGCCGTCGTCGTGTTAGATAGAATCCATCCCGACCTCCCTGCCTTAGCACCGCCGCTGCTCGCCTGGCCCCGTCTCGAGGTTGGGCTAGGTGCCCAGCCGACGCAGCGAGCGAAGCCTTAGGCTCCTCCTCGTTCTCCTCGTTCTCCTCCTCGTTCCTCGACCACCTCCCCTCATCTCACCGGACGGGACCATCTTACTAGCATTGCCTTACCTCCCTACGTAACCTGCCAACGCCCGCTCCGCAGACGCGCAGCAAATCAAGCACGGCGAATCAAGCAAGTCCCTGCCGTCATCTGCATCGGTGCTACATTGCGCACAGAGATGCGCCAGGTTCGCGGCCTCACGCCCCTGTCGCAGCTATACGTCAAGAGGCATGCACTGCCTGCCTCGGGTACCCTGTACATTGCCCGCTGCCCCGTGCGCCGTGCGTCTGCGACCAGACCGGTTCGTACCCCGTACTTGCTGGCCCCCCCTCCCCTCCCCCGCCGGCTCGAAGCACCGCCTGCATACATCACCTTTCCTACCTTCTCCTCTCGATCTCCCCCTCCTCCTCCCTCCTCCACCTTCAACTTCTCCCCTCCCACTCTCTGAGGTCACCTCACCTCTGCCGCCCTCTTCCCACCGCTACCGAAGCCAATAAGGACTCGACTAAAAACACAACTGCCCACCACCCGGACCTCGTCAACCCACTTGCTTATTTCGACGATCCCGAGAGCTCTTTAGGCGAGCGCGCATTAGCGAGTCTCGACGGCACCTTTGGCTCTCTGGCCTTTCTCTCGTAGCAAGTCCGTCGGCCCCCTCGTGATTGGGCCGAGACAATTCGTCGATGGCCTGCGTATGATCGAGACGCCTTCGCTTACCCACCCGCCGCGCTCTTCCCCCCCCCCCCCCCTTCTCCTCCCGTGGAATAGCGACCCAAGTCCGAACCGTCGATTGGCCCGGCCGGCCGAGACCTGTCGGCCATGGCAGCGCAGCGCTAGTCAGTTAGCTTGGGAACCCTACCTACATACACACATACCCACATACAGCCGAGCGGAGACTCAGGTCGGCACAGAGCGAGGAACGCCAGACCCAAGCACCTCTCCCCTCCCCTCGGCGGCATCAGGCAAACCAACCTGCCGGAAAGGGGAATTCGTCGATAGACAGACACCCACCCGGGGCCTACGTCATACGCGCCCGTAGCATTGTTGGATGCGGACCGGGAGGTGAGAAAGCGGCCGTTTGAATGTCGCACCAATGGCCGCTGGCCGGCGCGCACTCGCCCACATACCCCAGAAAGCCGTCGCATCCCAAGCTTCCTCCTCCCCCGGCATAGCGACAAGCTGCTAGGTTGGCGTCGGCCTGTCTAGTCTCGATCCCAAACTCCTTCGCCATCGTAGCGAGAAGCCGTTAGGCGGGCGTTTGACTCTCTATAGGTATCTATCTACTAGACGGTGTTCGTCGGCGGCAACTCGCTACGCTGGGTAAGCAAGTTGGTGGACGGTGGAGCGGCGGTCGGATCCACAGTGGGAAAATGCGGAGTCGTTAGCGTCAGTTAGGGGCCCGTAGCCGCTCGCTAGACGGGACGAGATGAAGGGCATGTAACCTGGACACTTAACCCACGCCTAATACGAGTCATGTGCTTATCGTGAGTAGCCCTAACTGGGACAAGTCCCAAGGAGCGGCTGCCAGGTACAACGCAAGGCATCCCAGCAGCTATGCGTGCGGAGGCGGGACTCCCCCGTCTTTTCCTTGCCAGCTGGACCTCGGGAACCATAGGTGCTGGCCCTCCTTACGTTCGAGAAGCCCCCTCGAAACCGCCATTCCTCGGCAGTACCTATCCTGCGGCTATATATATACATATATACCTATGGGTATATATGCAAAAACTCAAACGTGGGTAGCCATCCTCTCTGCTTGGCCTGGCTCCCGCAGCGGTGGTCGTCGGAGCCAACCTAACCGAAACGACAGCATGTTTGGACGGAAATCCGACAATATTGCTGGGATTTCCAGCTTTGCAACCATTGCCGGGGCCCTTCCCCGCGCCACGTTTGGGTGGAGACAGCTAGCTAGCTGCCCATGCAATTTGGTGTAAGCAGTAGCCTAAGAAGAAAGGGAGAGAGAGAAAAAGGGGGGGGGAGGCGGTTGGGAAGTTATACCTTGCCCCGTGACGAGGCATAATATTGATTATAGCGGAACTAGTGTCCCAAGTAACAAGGGATTCTAGGTAATTAGGAGACGCCTTACTGGCCTCCCCAAGCCAACCTAACCTAACCCAATCCTAGTTGTTTGCGGATATCTGCACCCCGGACTAATACCGCGCGCTACCGGCTAACCGCCAAAGAGCCATTACGCCTACTCCCCCCCTCGCCGTTCTAGCAAAACTTGTTTTCAACTAAAAAAGACCTACCTTGCGTAGGTAGGGTGTTCCATGACTCGGCGGAGGCGGGGGGGGGGGGGACCGTGCCAGAGCTGAAGACCGCGCAAACCCTTCTTCCTTCCTTCCTCCGCAGCCAAGCTTCAGAAGTTCCGTTAGTAAGGAGCTCGTGGCGAGGCGGGAGAGCTGTGGGAAGGCCATTCAGCGCGCCCTCCCTCCCCCTCTCTCCTCTCCGTCTCCGTCTCCCGCCAGATATGCAACTGTCTGCTGGCTCGCCACGGCTAGCGGCGCAACTCGATGGCCGGACTCGCGCCTGGCTTGCCCGTCGGCGCCCTGGCTGGCAGGCTGTGTGCCGCTCGAGAGCCACGGACGCGTAGTCTTTGTGCGCGAGGGCGCGGGAGGCTGGGCGGAGGATGTGTCTGGGGGAACGGGGCGGGGATGGGCGGGGATGGGCGGGGGCGCGGCGGAGGTAGGACGAAGAGGTGTGCTCCAGAGTCTGCTGCGTTTTCCCCGGCTGAGGCCGTCGGCCTGGGCGCCCGTTTCCCTGTTGTTGTTGCGCGGTCCTCGGAGAGTCCCTACTAGACGCGGCGGACCCGGGTGTGTCAGACGGACGGGGCTGGGGGGCTTTGGATGGCGTGGCGGGACAGGAAGAGGAGGAGGAGGAGGAGCGCGCACGCCTGGATGGGAGATGCAGGGCGGAAGTCGTGCCGATTATACTGCAGACACAGGTGTGTATCAACTTCTCGGGCGTCGAGCAGGCCTCTGAGTTATCGGCGCAGCCGGCTTCGGGGAATCGCGTGGTAACTGTCCAAATTGGGAGTGGGAAACAGAGAGAGAGAGAGGCAGATACGTGTGTGCAGAGACAGACGCAGAGAGTGAGAGAACACTACCCACATTTCACTTGACACAGACAACCCCATCTCCACCAACAAAGCGGGCGATCTACCTACCTAACAACATATTCCCTCTCTAGAGCCCTCCACGAAACACCACTCCCCGCCCAGCCGGGAGACCGCCGGACCTCGCAGCCCCCCGAGCCGTCCCCGCCCGAGTTTCTCAGCCGGGAGACACCGCCCCTTTCCTGGCCCGTACCACGCGGCTCCCGAGTCCATTAGGCAGACGCGTAGACACGGGGTTCGGGCTGGGAACAATACGTACGATACCGCACGGCGTCTTCTTCTTCTCCCCCTTCTTCCTCCTCATCCAGACCGCCTCGCCGCCCTCGAGAACACGCGCCTATCTCCCTTCCCCCCCTCGACACTCCTCTCGGCTGCGCCCGCAACACGTCCGACAACCCATCCTCACCGCAAGCCACCGCGCGAGAGCCGTCGACTCGCGCCTCAATCCTCAGCCGATCCGAGTGCCAGGGGGGTGCTGCCGAGCGCACGCCGCACATCGGCGGTCTCCCCTGGCCCGGCGCCCGCCCTGTGACACCCGGGACGCGGCGCCAGTCAGCCAGCAGCACCGCGGTAGGCTCCCCCCGCGACCGCGACCGCCTCGGCGCCGGCCCTCTCCGCGGCCAGGATAAAAGCGCGCGTGTATGCTGACACGCTCCCCCCTCCCTCTCCCCTCTTCCCCTCGCTCGTCGGTTTCGCGTCAGCAACGTCGCATGCATACGGCCACACCGGTATGCGCACCTGCGCGCGGACCGGTGTCGAGGGCGCGGCACACAGCAGTACCGAGTAAACCCCTCTTGTTACCTACCTACCGCTCGCCCGAGTATGCGACCCTCCCCCCTCCTGCTCGGCTCCCCCCCCCCCCCCAAAAAAAAAAAACACCAAAGAAGCCAGTAGGTATGTACGTAGCCAACAGCAGCGATAATAGTAGTAGTAAGTAGTAGTACACGGCGAGTCGCTTAGAATTGCCCGCATTAGACCCCGACGCAATTCGATCCGCCAACTTGCTACGGGCTACTGCCGTTGAAAAGGGAAAAGCAAAAACAAAAACTTTTTCCATCTCTGGACGAGGAAGACGAGGAAGACGAGGGGAAGAGGAAGAGAAGAGGTAGGAGAGGGAAAACGAAGGAAGCAGAAGAGAAAAAAAAAACAGGCAATATGGGTGTCTATGCATAGATGTATAGATATAGGTAGGTAAGCCACCGTCGCGGTGATTGGTATCAAATAAGATAGAGAAAAAGAAACCAACGCGAAACAAAGCGAGACAAGACAGGACGGGAGACCCGAACCCGGACGGCCTGGCGTACCAGGCAAGTCAGCTAGGCTTTGCGCCTGCTGTAGCTGGCGGCATCGTCACGTGGGGGATTGCCATGCGGGCGGCCGCTCTCTCCGTCTCCCCCCCCCTCCGAGCACACGCGCGCGCGCACACTCTTGTCTATCCTCGTTACCCTCGTGTCCCCGTTATAATTATGAAGAATCTTTCCAACGCCCCATTCTCGACCCGCATTTTTTCCCATCCCCATCCAACCCCAATCTGTCTTCTCGCCCTACCATCGCTCCCCCTCTTTCTCCTTCCAACTCCGCTCCCTTCGCGCCCTTCCCTCCACCCTGCACGCGTCGCCTTGCGTCAGCGCTAGCGTCGGCGTCAAGGATTCGCCGTGGTCGTCGAGGTCGCGTTGTTTGCCACGGCGGCGGTCGCAGCAGCATCTGCGGGAGGCTTCTGGCCGTAGACGAAGTAGAAAGGGAGGTAGATGTGCGCGGCGGAGCTGAGCAGGGCCTTTCGGACGTCGACGAGGAAGACCTCGACCTCTTCGGGGGTCCAGCCGAGGCCGTGGGTGAAGGGACGGATGCTGAAGCCGTGCAGGCCGTCGTAGATCATGTGCTGGCTGAACAGGCCTACTTTCGCCTGTTGCGGGTCGCGCGGCCACGTCCCGATCGGCACCTTCAGCATCTTCTCCTCCACGTTCACGAACCCCGCGTCCCGCAGGAACTCGGCGTACCGCGACACGTCGTGGCTGCGGATCCCCAGCTGCCCTAACGCCGCCGTCAGGGTCCGCGCGTACAGGGCGCAGATGTCGTCCTCCGCCATCGTGCCGTCGTCGCACATCGTCACGCACTTCAGGTCCTGCAGCTCGAGCCATCCGCCTGGCTTCAACGCCCTGCTCCGCGAGGGGTCCGGACGCCCCTCCCCTGGTTAGCATTCTCGTATCGGTGGATCGGCGGGTTTCCCGGTGACAAACGTCCCCACCCCGCCGGTAACCCGGGGGGCCGGGGGAAAGGAGACGCCAGTGGGAGAGGGGGGGGGGGGACTAAGAGAAAACCTCACTTATACGCTTCGGCGATAACTCCGGGCCAGTCCCGAATCGTCGGCGCCATCTGCCGCGCGTGGATATAATCCAACGAGTTCGGCGGCTGGAGCCACTCCTCCTCCACGTTGTCGACGAGAAATTGCACGTTCTCGGGCACCCACAGGGGTTGTATCGGGCTGAGATCTACGCCTAGCACTTCTGCGTTGGGATACATGTCACCCACTGCACGGCGCGCGGGCGCGGGCCAAAGCGGGACTCGTTAATAACCATACCGAAATCTCCCCGCGTGGGGTCTGCGTCGGGAACGGAGAGAGGCAACAAGAAAAAAAAAAGGAAATCTTGGATCGACAGGACAGGAAGGGGGGTGGGAGATTCTTCGCTTACTCTCTATAGCCCAGATGCCGGTTCCGGTGCCAACGTCGAGGATGGACCGGGGATTCTTGAGGGGAGCGTAATGCAGCTTGCCGTCGCAGAGCAGCATGGCCATGGCGTGCTGCAGGTCCTCGCGCTCCTGCTCGGCGTCGTCGTTGGGAAAGTGATAGCGTCCCTCATTGTACTTGTGGTAGCGGCGCGAGTTCTCGAAGACGTAGTCGCGCACGTCCTCAGACATCGACATAGAGTCGGCGGAGAACGTGCCTGAGAAGGCGTCGTAGCCGTCTTCGTCAGCTGATACCGACAGCGCCGAGTCGGCATCGGTCCGGACGTCCCCTTTTTCTGCGCTCCTCGCAGGCGACGGCTTACCTGAAGGGCACGAGTACGATTCTGATGGCTCGGCCATTGGCCCGACGTGCGGTTACCTCGGGGCGGCTACGTTGCAGTTTCGAGAACGAAGGAGCATTAAGCACTTCTTATTTCCCTCTTCTCCCCGGGAGACGGGCGGCGGGGGGGGTGGGGAGATTTGGTGGGCGAGGAAGCGAGGAAGGGTAGAGGGTAGGTGTGCGCGTGTGTGCGAGCGAGCGAGGGCCTGGGTGCGTGCGTATGCGGACTCGGACTAGGGGGAGGGGGCCGTTTGGCCGGCTAAGCGATTCCGTTGCACGAGACAAAGGGCAGGGTAGATCTATGGCGATATGTGGCAATAGCGGCAATGCTAGCAGGGTCGGGATGTAGATGACGGCGGTGGTGGTGGTAGCGAGGAGTACGGGAAGTGGTGGTAGCGGTGGTGATCGATTTCGACTCGCAAGTTGCGCACGGCGAGCGATCACGATGGGTTCCCAGCGCAACGGAGAAAAGCCCCGCCAGTCTGGCTACCAATATAGAGACGGGCGAGCGATTGGTCATGAGGACGAGGATCCCCGCTTGGATGCAGCCGGGGGGCGTCGAGACCTTCGGTGGGATGCAAGTCGACCTTAGCAGGAAACGAGAGGCAGCGCAAGTCGGGGGACCCCAAGAACGGGAACGCGCTGACCTGGCCGACCCAGCAACTTGGAACTGACTGTCGACAGCGCAGGACAAGCGCCATTCTAGCCGGTCAGAGCGGCACCGACCGAACTTGGCTGGGGGACGGTTCATCTCGCCTGGCGCCACCGCAAGGCATAGTAGGTAGGTATGCCAACCTGTAATACCCGACGACCGGGCCCCGTTAGCTGCTGTCGACATAGGCGCACGTCACGTCGTACCCAGGTGGCAGTTCGGCGACGTTGTGGTGAGAATCCGTCGCCAGCCCCGGAACGAGCTTAGCAGGGTCGGTCGGCGACGCCACAGGCGCAGCACGCGGTACCATGGCAGTACAGGGCCCAGGACCTGGCTCTGCCTCTAACGTCGAGAGCATCGCCGCGTCGTGCCGCAGACGTAGGGGATGGCGATAGGGGAATCCGAAGAGGGAACTGGTGGTGTCCGTCTGCTGCGGCCAAGTCCCATCCAGGCAACGGACCCGGATCAGGATGCGACCCAGCCAAGGTAGACGGCGGGCTTTGCATTCGCTCGGCCAGGGATGGAATATGAGTAGAATCGTCAACGCGGGAATCACACACCATGCATGGCGGTAGGAGTGTGATAGGTCGGCGTCTGCCTTCCAGTTGCCTTCTCCTATGAGTACCTATGTGTACCGTCCCGAGGTACCCCTACAGGAGGTAAGCAGGTACTCGCCGTAGGGACCTCAGGCAAGTGGGTACTTGTGCGGCCCTGCTGCCGGCATGACGTGGGTACTTTGCGTGCCTACCTGATCTACCTAGGTACCTACCTAATCATGATGTGTCAAGTCTGTCTGGTCAGTCAATTCCTCCTCTTTGCCTTGGCCCTCCGGCGCCATCGCTACCTGCCTTCCTCGTGCTGCATGTACCTCCTAGGTATATTGCCTCTTTAGGTACCTTAGGTAGGTACCTAGGTAGGTAGGTATCTATGTACAGACCCGGCCTCGCCCGCCTAATCTCTCTCTATGCTACGGACGTGACAGCAGCAGCAGCAGCAAATAGTGCGGCTTGGGCAGATCGGGCTAGCCCTCTGCCGCTACATATGCGCGACGAGGATCCTTACAAAGGACCAGACCACACAGTAAAGCGACAGTCGGTCCGAAGATGTCTCGGTACCGTGCAAGCAGATCCCGTTATGTCGTATGTCGACGCGTTGAAACGTTGAAAACCTGCGTTGCGAACACCGTCATGCTAAGCGTCTGTATGAGTGCTCATATGCGCTTCCCTTCCTGTTATTGCCTACCTGGGGAGGTGCGCGGCCGGTCAGCGGCCTAGGCCAGCCAAGCCACAAGCTGATCCGGCCTATCATCCCCCTACCCACTCCTAATCTCACTACCTATTACCTATCTATCTCCTCGTTAGCAAAGAGATTTTATGAAGGTGGTCTTGGCAGAGAGCCCAAGGTGAGCACCCACCTGCGGGCAGGTAAGCAGTATTACCTATCTTAGGTAGGTAGGGGTATCTGATCAAGGTAGTATCTCATCCCAGGTAGGCAATCACCTCTTCGTCTCCCGGTGGGGATGGCCGAACATCGACCGCCGTCGTCAGCCAGCGCCGTCGTCAGCTAGCCAGCGCCATCTACTCACAGAAGCATGTTTCTGTTCACGTGGGCTGCTCTGCTAGCGAAACTCCAAACCAACTAACTACTCGGCCGCTTATGCGAAAAGCACAGCTTACGCCCCCCTTTCCCTAGGCAAGACAGAAAGAGAGAGAGAGAGACAGGCGGAGAGCGAGACAGAGAGAGCAGCTAAGTCATGATGCGACAACGAGGCGTCTCGACGGCGTCCGGATTGGCCAGCTGCCCTGCCGCTCATCACGCCACGCCAGCGAGGAGACCTCCCCTCTCCACACTAACGCTTACCTGCCTGGTGCTTACCTGCCTGGTGCTAGTTGGGTAAGGTTAGTGCCTATTCACATGCTATAACGCTCTCTGCTAACGCTCTATGGCCAATGCTATAGTACCTACTAGGTACCTAAGGTGCTATCCCCCGCCTAGACATGCCTAATCTGCGCGTACCACCTCCTCTCGGGCTGCCTCGAGCAACCTGGGTAGCCTAATGCAAGCCCGCGCAAGCCGCGAGACGACCGACGCGAGACACGTCGCCCTACTAGTAGGTAGGTAAGACAGCGGCAGCCTGCTCCACGGTTTCGCGTGCGACAGAACCCAACCCGCCTTAGCGGCTCGCCGTGTTCCAGGTCGAAGACCCGTTACCTCCTCGTCGGGTCCAGGCACGCGAGAGCGCGCCGCATACCGAGCACACCTCCCTGTCTCACCTTGCCTACCTTACCTTACCTACCTCCCACCTCAGCTTTACTCATACGTCCCATACCCAAGCCCCGTGCCTCGACCCATTCGACACGTCCAGATTCCGGACATCAGGTGCCAAGTTACCCGCCGGGTACTTAGGTACCACGATATGGTCCCTGCGATAGAGCCAGGTCGGGAGGAAGAACCTACCTACCTGTCTGAGGCTCTCTCTACCCAAACAGCGTGGCACGGGGTGGGCGATCTGCTACGTACGCAGTTGGTCCTCCGCTACGATAACGAGAGGCCAGTCATGATCACGGTTTGCCATCTCGGCGTAAGCCTCATCGAAGATCCCTACCTGCCCGAGGGGGGGGAGGGGGTGGCGGGAGCACTTCCCTCCCAGCTGCATGCTGCTGGATGCGTACGGGGACAGCATACGGATGGGTGTGCATATGTGATCATCTCCCTCGGTGCCAGCCTCCTACGTGTCCCAAGCTATACTCATAGGGATCAGATCTTATTGCCTACATGCCCATCGCATCTACACATCCATACCTACATACCCAACAGGGTGGTGTAGGGGTATGCACGGAGCATGTAGGCGCGTCGTCTATTTATAGGCCCGTCTCGTCTATTCGCCGTCTCGTGGAATGACCAGTCCGACTTAGGTGATATATTACCTGTAGCAACCACCACCTTCTCTCCCGCCTCCTCTTCTGTCGTTATGCTGTCCGACCAACATCCGAGATCCTCCGCCCCAACAGCAGGCAATAGCCAGAAGCCCGCACGCACACACACACGCACACACACACACCACATGAACCCCGACCCCCCCATCTCAACTACCCAGTCCCTCGCAACCCTCTCACCGAATACGAACTCAAAAGCAGCTCTCCGAAGGCAGAAAGCCAGACTCCGACGGTGCGCCCAACCTGCGCGGGGAAACCAGCCCGAAGACGCTCCGCGTGACCAGCTCCTCCTGGCTCGCCGCGCTGGTTCGCCACGATCCCCACGCCCATCTTGCCTGCCAACCCCCCCCCTCCCTCTCTCTCCTCTCTCATACGCAATCTCGCAGCAGCCAATGCTCCCTCGCACCCCCCGGGACCTCGCAGCCCGCCGGCCTTGCAAGACCAGGCGAGACCGTTGGACCGCTGCACAAGCATCCACATCGGACTCGCCGGCCTTGCCGATCACCTCTCCTCCCCGCCACCCCCCCACGTCGCAGCACCCGCGGCGGCGGACTGGCGACCCGGGGAAGGGAGGGGGGAAGGAGGCGCGCTCCCATGTGTGATGACGTACTGGCACGCCTGCGTCCGCGTGCAGCTGACGATGTCGAAACCCCTCTCCCCCCCCTCGCGGAAGAAAAAAAACAAACAGCGACACCCCCTATTCCCCGTATTCCCGCCGGCCTCGACCTTCCTTGTCTCCGTACCGCCCAGCCCGCCCCGCCCCGGCCGATAGATGCCCCCACCGACCTACCACCTGGGTAACTTTCCCCTCCCCGAGACATGTCGTAAGATCCGTATAGGCCCGATATTCTGGCTCGGCCGTTGGGGCAATCCTTTGCCGTCATAACGCGCGGATATAGCTCCGCAATTTCCTCGGGCCTGGTGAGTGAGTGGGTGATATCTGCGTACATGTTCATGTGTGTGTGTGTGTGTGTGAATAGCAAGGCTTCTCTTCGTAGAAAGATATCCACGCGTGAACCTCTGGGCAGGAGGGCGTGGGCCCCGTGGGTGGGAAGGACAGGTACAGATGTTCTTTTGGTAGGTATAGGCAGGGTTGCAAAAAAAAGTTTAAGTTTTTAAGTTAAGTTTAAGTTTTTCTTAAAAAAGTTTAAGTTAAGGTTTTTTTCTAGAAAACTTTTTTTTTAAGTTAAGTTTAAGTTAAGTTCGAAATTGCTTAATAAAAACTTTTTTTTGCAACCCTGGGTATAGGCATGTGAACGCTAAACTATTGCCTCCAAACGCAAGGGCATGCCAATAAGAGTCCCCTGGTGGATGTAGACGCCTATCCACTGTCCGACAACCTACTAGCAAGAACACCTCCGTCGCCCTCCGTATAACCCCAACACGAATCTGACCTAGATCCGATCAAACAGGCACTCTCGTATTCATCAAATCGATATCGTGTCCGGGGCACCGGGCTTCATAGGGCATCATCTGCCGTTTGCCATATTCCCGCCCGCCTAAGGCAGGTCCCGTCGGCTGGACCCAAATAGGGTGTCTCGATACTGTCTAGACGCCTTGGGGGTTAGGAAGGCTGCTCCATCGATATTGACCGCAAAATCGGCTGTTTCCCTGCTCAAACGAACTCGATGGGCCCCCATTTCGAGCGTATCTGTTCGCAAAGATGTTTCCAACTACGGGATACAATGCCCCGTCACCTACTAGCCACCTTCCCCGTGCCCGCCCTCGCCTTTTACGAATGCTTAATCCCACCACTAGTTTGAGTATACGAGACCGGAACGTCTCGAAATGAATGGATCCCCCCAGAGACTATGCGAGGGGGTCGGTAATGGCGATCTCGTTCTCATCTTCCTGGGTTCCGCCCGGACCGCCATGTTGGATCGTATTTTCGGAACTCCGCCGAGATGTTGGGTCTCCTGTTAGCAGGTGCCCGTGTTTCACAGTACTAGCCTGCTGTGTGCGTGTTCGCAGTTCCTCGTATTCACTCCATATTGTAGGAATTTCGAGGCCGAGGTATTCAAAATCCCAGTCCGACTTCTCACGACCACGGTGTGGTCTCGAAGAGACGCTCATACTGAGGCCCAGCGGGCCGTACTTTCCAGATATCACGCCGTCTGAACCATCTTCCACGGCCTTGATAATCTGAGCGGATACACTCGGAGGCTTCAGGGGAGCGTAGGTCTCCGGTAGCCCAATACCCCTCCGCCGACCCATATCACTACCTCGAAGTGGCGCCCTACTTACAAAGTCCTTTGAGATTATTTCGCCCTCCTCCCCTGCCTTTCCTGTCCTCTCTGGACGTGTATGCGATGGCCATTTTGCCCATGACGCCGGAGGAGTCCGGGGCCTAAGCAAGCTGTGGCGTCGAGCGTCTGCATTTCTCTCCTCCTCGGGCTTGGGCTTGATGTCGTCGCTGCTCATTAGATTGACCCACCCCCTTAAAACGATACTCGGTATATTAGACTGTTGGTCGCCTTTATTCGATCGGGGGTACGTCTGTTTGAGAAGAGATCCATACTCCCTTGGCTTTGAGACAGATGCCCTAATGACGGTATTACAGTTCAATTCAGCCATCTTATTCCCAGCGAGTCCCTGATCGGATGTGAGATGGCGTGTCTCTCGGTCCGTTTGGAAGCTAACGAGGTCCATCCGGCCCTTCGCAGGTGGCTCCCCCCGTTTACGACCTCGTTGGCCCTCTGCTCCAATCCTCTGTAGCGGCAATGCCGTACTGCCACGGGGACATTGCGGCTTCTAGCCCGCATCAGGTGATGTCTTTTGCGGCTCGCCTAGGTCGTCTTGTTTAAGCTCATGCTGGTCGAAACAACCAGCTGCGGTGGCCCCGTTTTCCGAGCAACGTCGCTTGCGGCTATGGATGGTATCCCTTTGCAAGTCTCTTTCTACACCCTTTGCTCTTTTAGGAATTGTCAAATGCAATCTAGCGAGGAGGGAATACCTATGGATCATCGAAGTTCGCTGCTCGTTGGACTCCTCCCGGGGTTTGCTGACTACCAGGATTGAATATTTGTTATGAGGCTTGGCCTGCTTGAATCGCTTTTCAACAGACTCAAGTTCTATTTCTCGTTCTCTGAAGCTTGGCGTGTCCGAAACTGCCACCGAGTCCGTCTCAACTGTACGGCAACGCGGGCGCTGGGGGTTCCACATGGTGGCTGCCGGTGCTGGGGTTTCCTCAAAGGCAATTTTGTACGAGCTGGCGCCCGACTTTTCGGTAGTACGACTAAGGGATAAAGGATCTAACGCAACAGTTAGATGTAATAGCGTTTCAGGTGGATAGGAGAACTTACGGTTCAAATTCGGAAGCGGTGTGATAGCGCTCTGCTCTCCTGGCGAGCCGTCCAAACCCTTCCCATTCGCTGCAACATGGTGAATAATTTGCCCTGTGCCAGGCGTGCGGTGGGCGAGGGTGGCATGGGGGGGCTGGAAGGTCTCACCGAACCCAGGTTCCGACAGATCAACGGGATCTCGCCCCCTGTCGTGAGATGTACGAGGCGGAGTGGGTGGGTTACGAGAGTTAAGTTGAGTCACAGACAAGGCCTCGGGAGAAATGTGTGCGCCATCAACGTATACCCGGTTTCCATCGACATCCTGACGCAGACATAGTTGGTCTACACAACCACCCTCGGAAGTCATTTCTGGGGCCATATCCCCGGGTCGCCTTCCGGACGAGCCTGAAGTTGGCCGCAAGTCCTGGCTTCGCAGCCATATATCCAATGGCGATGGTTGATCCAATTGATCATCACTGTGGGTTTTAGTATAAAAACCATCGGATGCTCTCGCGTTGCTAGAGTCTCTCCGTTCGTCATCCCCAGGTACCACTTGTCGTCGATGTACACTCGTGGGCAGACCTCTGCCAATCGAAGACCCTGGGCTATCGGTTGCGCGGTTGTTGAAAATGTTATCGTGCTCAGTCTGTATATCGGCATGTTGATAATGGATGGTCTGTTCAGTACCCTCAGATACCCCGCTGAGCCTCAAGTCTCCAGTGACCCGGAGGTAGCTCTCAAGCCATCCGGTGCTAGAGAAGAGTCTCCTTAAGGAACTTAGCGACTCAGAACTTCGAATGCTCGTTTGAGGAGCAGAGGTTAACTGAAGAGAAGCGGGAGAATCTAGCGAGGGATTTTTGTCCCGGAGAATACCACGGTTCTCGAAGATGGTACCATCGTACGACCGGCGGCCCAAACCCGGGTAGCTACTTCTGCGAGGGGGGACTGGAGGAGGGCCGCTGCTTAAGAGGCGAGTGGCTCGAGGATCTAGAGGAATAGGTAAAAGGCTCTCAAATTCCGTCTCGTTCACATCCAAGACGAGATACCCAGCATTATTTCTAGATCCACCGCGTAGTAGGGTGACGTAAGCATCATTGTCTAGCCGAGACTTTTCGAGACTTTCCAGCTTGACTCCTGTCACGTAGGCATGCACCCCTAGTAGGAACCACCTAGCTTACCTAAGCTAGTTAAGTACTACTATATATACCTATAGATCGCTCTATACTCTCTAATAGCTTTCCTTCTTTTTTAGTTAGTTAATATATACCTTCTTACCTTTATTCCATTACTTCCTTTACGAATAACCTATTAACCCTAGCTTAGCTCTCGCTAGTTATATAATAGTTATAAGCCCGGGGTACTTCTAAGGAGTTATTATTACTTAGGTTATTCTAACGTAAGTAAGTAATATATTTATTTATTTCTTAGATCTTACGATTATACTTCCTTTATATTTCTATACCGGTACTTTACTTTCGTATCTAGTACTAAATAATCGATTACTTATTTCGCTATAACGATTAATACTTCCGAATTTTCCTTAAATAAGATTTTAATTAACGTTTACTTACGAGCTTACGATAAGTAGCTACGGTAGTTCTTAACGCTTAAATCGATAGCTATTTAATTCGGTATTTAAAAGGACGTTAATCTAAATAAAGCTAAGTTTAACGTTACTCGAGTTATAGTAGGTATTCTTAAGGAATATATTACTTAAGAGAACGAACTCCTTAAAGAAAACTATAAGAAAGCCGTCTACGAATAAGCGTCGATCCTAACCGAAGACCGAGGAAATTAATTACTAAGGCCTAAGGTACGAACTCGAGAGTAATAAACGGTAGCGTATAATAAGCTCGTTTCCTAGTAAATAACGATCGAGGCTTAGGTTATAACTATTAATAAGTAATATAAGGTCCTCTATAGTTAGATTCTCGCATTTATTTCGGTAGGTTTTCTTAAGGTAGCTAATATAGAGATATAGTTCCTAGACCTTAACCTAATTATTTAAAATCTCGTAAAGATTTTCCGTAAGTAAATTACTCCTACCGAAGCCGCTATTAAGATATTCGTTAAACGAAAATACCGTAAGATACTTTAAAGAGTAAAGGTAGGTACTTATAATCCCGAGTAGTTTTACGTTATATAGTAATACGCCTTCCTTCGCGTTCGCGTTTATTATATTAACGAAATTAAGAGCGTTATAAGAATAAAAGATTTCCTCGAAATAATTAAGGCTAAGATCGTAATCGATTAAGTTATACGGATATTAATCGCTCTTATTAAAGCTAATAAACTCGGCGAGTAACTAAAGACCTTTAAATAATTAGGCATCGTATTTAACGCTTTCGCTACCGAAAATAAGTAAAAAGGTAAATTAGGTTATAAAATTTTCGTAATAACTTACTAAAGACCGACTTTAGGAGCGAAATTAACTAATAGTAACGGCTAAGGAAAACTAACGAGCTACGAATGCCTTTATAAGTCTAAAGGTAAACTATATTTATAGGTAGCTCGTTTTTATGGAATCTTATAAAAGTCCGTTACTAGTTAAATTATACGTAACCTAAAGCCGATTCCGGCTAATATTATACGAAAAATTAAGGCTAAATACGACTTACCTAAGTACGTTAAGCTCCGAAATTAAATTAACCGCTAGGGGTAGGACGTTCCCGTAAATAATATACCTAATAATCGCTCCGGGAACGGGAAAGGAAATAACGCTACTACCTAACTAATTAATATTAACGTAATAATAATCGACTTACGTATTATATACCTATTTACCTAAATTAAGATTTACTTTATTATAAACCTAATCCGATACTTATTATCGGAAAGTATCGTCTTCGATAACTATAAAGTAATCTACCTTATTAATAATCGTAATCTTTTAATAAAAGGGTCGTTCGTTTCCGTTAGAAACGGATAGACGATCGAAGCTAGTACTATAAGCTTTCTTATTATTAATACGGGTCGTAGGATTATCGAGAAATATATCTTAGATTAATTTAATAAGCCTACCTTTAATCTAAAGCTTAAGGACGTCGTATTTATTAAAGATTTCTACGTTAATATTATCTCTAAAGCGAAACTTCGTAATATAGGTATTTAGTTTTACGGTTTAAATTATACTTTAAGGAATAGAACCCTCGAGAAAAGTATTATAGTAAGGAAGTTAAAGCGACGCTTTAACCTAGTCTTTTTCGAATTTAAGTAGTTCTTTTCTTATTCGTAAGTCCTACTCGTAATACCATTTACTATATTATTAAGTATTTTACGTAACGTAGCGTCGATCGTAGTAATACCTTATTTCCTAAAGAGAAACGTCCGGTAGAAAAGATCGAGAGATATTATTAAACCGAAAGAAAACTCTAAGGTATTTTAGTATTAACGAATAAGGTATCTTAATCCTAAGGCGCTTAAAGCCTTCGTTAAAAACGCCCGGAACGTTAAGATTAGCGGTATGCCTATAATTAAGTACGAGTATTATAGTTAAGCGATAGGTAAGAGAGTAATCTCGCGCCGTTTATTAATATATCGCTCGCTACGTTCTTTTTAAAAGGTATATTAGGATTTATTTAACTACCCGGAAGGTTACGACGGATCTAAGTAGCTTATCGTAATTAGGGATAAATTTAGCGGAATATTATAAGTTAAGACCTTAAAGAGTAAGTAAGGTTTATTAATAATAAGAACTCTTCGACTCTTTAAAAGATAGGTTCGGAAGTAATTCCGATTCTTAATCTATAAAATACGTTACGATAACGAACGCTTAGTAATAAGTATTAAAGGTATATCCGGATATAAGATCTAGGTAGTAAAAAAAGGCATTAATCTCGAACTTCCGCCGGTTAATACTAAGGAGCTAACCGGTAGGGGTAAGAAAACTAGATAAATTATTATCGTTAAATCGATTAAGATAAAGATTAAAGTAAGGCTATTAAAGAAACTATAGTCGGAAACCGTTAAAGCCGCGGCATATCTAATTAATATTAGCCTTAATTAAGCTTATAATCTTCGTATACCTTACGAGCTTTTAAATACCTAGTTTAAGTAATACTTTAGATAGTATACTCTAAAGGTAATAAGGAAGCTAACGAGCGACTTACGACCGGATTAGAACGATATTTATATATACGGGTATCGCGCGTATCCCTTAATAAGAGAACGTACCTAGGATCTTAATAAGAAAGGGTTTAAGGTAAACCTACGAGCTTATATCGGATATTTAATAGGATATTATATTAATAACCTATACCGAATCTAGGTTCCTAGGCTAAGTAAAGTAATCCTAACTAAGGATATAATCTTTAACGAAGAAACGTTTTATAGCTAAATAAATAAGTTAAAAGCTTAATAACTCGAATAAGAAGAGATTAATCGAATAGATCTTTCGATACGTATAAGTAATAACGTTATTTAATTAATTATCGAAGTATTAAACCTATAGGATTCGTTCGTACCATTTAATCGAGAGCTAAGTAGCGAGCTA